CTGCTCCAGCAGCCCCTCTGTGGTGGCTCAGGCTGGCTGTGGGAAGAGCAGCAGTCCCTGCTTGCAGCTAGCCTGGGCTGTCACAAACAAGGACTGCTGGACCCAGCACAAGCTAGGACCATGCAGTCCTGGCTCGCATCAGTCCAGACTCCAGGACCACTGAGACTATGCATTTTAAATGTAGTAAGAGCTGCCCAGTTCTTACTATATTTAAAATGCAGAGCCACGGCGATCCAGCACGGGCGCAAGCCAGGACTGCTCAAGGTAAATATGTTTCTTATGTGCTAAAGTAAATATAATAATGTAGGCCAAGATAAAATGCAAAGCAGCGGTCCCAGCTTTGTCTTGACTCACACCAATCCAGGACCTACCCCCGCTGTGACCCTGAAGTTTAAACGTAGTAGGAGCCGGGCTGCCTACGTACTGAGCTCTTACTACATTTAAGATGCAGAACTGCAGCAAGGGTAGCTCCTGGACTGAGGCGAGCCGGGACAGGGCACCTTCCTTTATTTGTATCGACTACACAATCAGTCAATTACCCAGCTCTTAACAGCTCTATAGAGGATGCAGCAATTTCTCATCTTTCAACTGAGACTTAATTCCCAGTCAAATTGTAGAAGGCCAGTCCAATGAAAATTAGCCATTTCAACTGGCTGAAACACAAAGCTTTGATTTTTCACTTGGAAATGATAAATGTTTATCTCCATTTCAACTGGCTGAAACACAAAGCTTTTATCATTTCCAAGTGAAAAATCAATGTTTATCCACCTCCAAGAATAAGCATAATAATAAGGAAATATTCTCCTCTGGACGGGCAATGAAGAGTCATTTTTCCTATATAATATTTATTTTCTAAATACCCACAATGGCCTGTTTCCAGGAGGCTGTGACAACACTACAAGATTCTCAAGGAAAGGCAGCCCATGGAAGGCATGAATCCTGCCCCCAAGAAGCTTACAAACTAATATGAGAATGGGGGTAAGATAACTAAACAGTTTTCAGGGCACTGGCATGGGGAGAAGATGGCAGGGAACTTCAAAAAGAGTGTACAGCTACTAATCGGGGTAGTCTGTGGTTCAACAGAATAAGGAAGACTTATCTGCCTAAAGCTGTTTGCGCACGAGTGTGTGTTTTGTTTCATATCTACTTTAAGTAACTATATTAATTAACTAATTTTGCCTTGCAGATTAGCTCTGGGATGGCATTCACAGTGTTAAGTGTAATATGGGAAAAAACCACAAAGACAGCTGTGCAAGAAACAGACAAAAGAGGCACCAAGGCGGGTATCACTGAAGGAGTGGATAGGGTGGCAACATGGCACCAGGATCCCAGAGGCAAGCAGGCCAGATTTAGGGAAAGCCCTGAAGGTGAGGACAAGAAGTATCTGGCATAGTGGAGAATTCACAGAGAGGGGGTGATGTAGTCAGCTCAGTGGGTAAAAACTATGATCTTAGCAGCTGTATTTTGTACTAACTGGACGTGGTGATACATAATCAATACAAGAGATGAAGTAGGCCTGGAGGACATATTTAGTTGTCTGAAAGAAAGAAAAGGTTGGATATTTAAAGTGGTTTAAACTAGATGGTAATAATGGTGACAACTTCAATCTATGGCCAAGCCAGGAGTTGGGAAGGCTCAGAAAACCATCCGGAACTGAGTCCATAGGAAGCGCAATAATATTATTATTTGTATTACAATAGCAAGTAGAAAAAACTTAAACAACCAATGGTCCGTCAGCACCTTAGAGACTAACAAAAACCATAGATGGTATCATGAGCTTTTGTTGGCACAACCCACTTCTTTACATGTGCCCACGAAAGCTCATGATACCATCTACATGTTTTGTTAGTATCTAAGGTGCTGCAGAAGCGTTCGTTGTTTTTTTAAGTTTTTCCACTTACAGACTAACATGGCTGCCCCTCTGAGTAGCAAGTAGGGGCTAGCGTAAAGTGACAATACAAAAAACACACAAGACAAATTCTTCCATCAGACCTTGCCCTCCAGTTATGCGAACTAATTTGTAGATTAGCAATACTTTATAGAGTGTTTATATAACGTTATCTAGTGCATTCAAAACACGCTCATTAATCCTGAACTCTTTCAACATGGCTGTGGTCACCATTTTACACCTGGGGAAACTGAGTAGGCAAGCAAATTGACTGGCCCAAGCCCAAACCACACGTCAGTGACAGAATGAGGATTAGAACTCCAGAGTTTATAAAAAGTCATCTATGACAAAGGAAAGGAACTGTGCAAAAAGTGACAAGGGAATTGTAATAAGCGAACAAACTTGTCCCAGCATGCTAGGAAGGCAGACACTGTCTTTGAATTAAGACTGTTTCACACTTTGGACTGACAAGTCTTTTCTTTGTGGCAAATATTTTTAGAAGAAAAAGATCTGTTACGCTTGGGATTCCGGACTCCATAGCAGGACAAGCCAGCTCTGGCTTGCTCTGTTGTGGGAAGAGAGAGCCCAAGCCTCGTGGGCCGGATCAAGACATGCCGCATGCTGGGCCATAGGTCCCCATCCCTTTAACTAGATACAAATTTAATCACTAGCAGAACTTAAAATTATCGATAAGGTGAACTGATTTCGAAAGAACATGGTTTTCAAAGAAGAATAAATAAATTAAAACTAAATAAATATTTAGCTACCAGATTGCAGAAAATATCTCAAAAGTAAGTGACATGTTATTGCATATACAGGCAGTCCCCGACTTACGCGGATCCGACTTACGTCGGATCCGCACTTACGAACGGGGCTTTCTCGCTGCTCCGGTGCCAGCAGAGTTGCTCTGCCCCGGGCTTCCTGGAATCAGCTGCTGATCAGTTTCAGCAGCAGCTGACTTGGGGACGCCTGGGGTTCTTAAGTTGATTCTGTATGTAAGTCAGAACTGGCGGTCAGTTTCAGCAGTGTCTGAATCTGGATGCCAGTTCCGACTTACATACAGATTCAACTTAAGAACATACCTACAGTCCCTATCTTGTACGTAACCCGGGGACTGCCTGTATTACAATAGCAAGTAGAAAAAACTTAAACAACCAATGGTCCGTCAGCACCTTAGAGACTAACAAAAACCATAGATGGTATCATGAGCTTTTGTTGGCACAACCCACTTCTTTACATGTGCCCACGAAAGCTCATGATACCATCTACATGTTTTGTTAGTATCTAAGGTGCTGCAGAAGCGTTCGTTGTTTTTTTAAGTTTTTCCACTTACAGACTAACATGGCTGCCCCTCTGAGTAGCAAGTAGGGGCTAGCGTAAAGTGACAATACAAAAAACACACAAGACAAATTCTTCCATCAGACCTTGCCCTCCAGTTATGCGAACTAATTTGTAGATTAGCAATACTTTATAGAGTGTTTATATAACGTTATCTAGTGCATTCAAAACACGCTCATTAATCCTGAACTCTTTCAACATGGCTGTGGTCACCATTTTACACCTGGGGAAACTGAGTAGGCAAGCAAATTGACTGGCCCAAGCCCAAACCACACGTCAGTGACAGAATGAGGATTAGAACTCCAGAGTTTATAAAAAGTCATCTATGACAAAGGAAAGGAACTGTGCAAAAAGTGACAAGGGAATTGTAATAAGCGAACAAACTTGTCCCAGCATGCTAGGAAGGCAGACACTGTCTTTGAATTAAGACTGTTTCACACTTTGGACTGACAAGTCTTTTCTTTGTGGCAAATATTTTTAGAAGAAAAAGATGCTTCATTATTACAGGCTTTGGGAGACTCACTGATTTACTGTGTAGGCTCAGGCGTGGCAAATATTTTTAGAAGAAAAAGATACTTCATTATTATAGGCTTTGGGAGACTCACTGATTTAAGTATTTCAATTCCCTGAGCCTCCACTTTCTTATCTGCAAAACAGGGCACATACTCCCCCACCCGACTGGACCAGATCAGACAGGGGAGGGGGTGGTATGGAGGACTAGTCAGTTATATGTTAGTAGGGAGCTTTCAGCAAGCAGGGTACTATAACATTACAGTAAACAGACCAAACAAGTCGCAGTGGAAAAAAATAAAGGCTTCAGCTTCACAACTCAGAAATTGGAGATTACACTTCAGTAATTTATTTTCCAAGGTTCCAGCTGCTCCACTTCTGACACCAACTCCATTCTAAAGCACTTCCAGTGTGATAGCATGTGCACAGAGCTCAACTCTGCCATACTGCCCAGAGAAAGAAGCAGGATCTAGTGGACAGCACTTGCATCAGGCTAAGGGGGTAGTATTTGCCTAATGGATAAAGTTCTGGATTGCAGTCATGAGACCTTGGTTCTCTTGACCTTCAGCATGTCACAGCTGCGTCTTTGCCTGCCTCTTCTATTCGGGGCAAGGGCCAATCTCTTCTTATGGAAGCTGCAGTCTCTGCAGGCTGAAGATGAAGGCAGCCAACAACTACTCTGGAAATGTTCATCAGCTGATCTTTGGCCACACCAGACATGTAGTACTATCCGACCTACAGCTGCCCTCTGACAGAGGAAGGGCAGGAAGGACATCAGCAAGAACAAAAAGTAGCTGTGTACTAACCTCGTCACTCTCCTCTACATCCACATTGCCATTGGCGTCATCGTCCATCTGCTTGTGGATATTACAGACCGCTTCGAAGCTGAGCAGCTCATCTTCATTGTGACACAAGGGCTCATCAATTCGACAGAACTCTGTTCAGGGAGAAAACACTGGCATTAGGTAGCCCCCACCATCTCGCTGTCTCACGCTGCATCCTGCATTTGGAAAAGCAAGAACAATTTTGGGAGCAGGAATACACTTGAGAAAACACTCCGATATTTTAGTGTTCCAGACCCAGAAACAAAGTAAGGTTGGCTGGTCTCTATGATAGCAGCCAATCTTGACAAGAATGGCTGGATCAGGGCCTAACCTGGGCCAATCTACCTTGGGCCAATCTACCTTAGGGGCCAGCCCCTGAAATCCTTTCCATCACAGCAGTCTCCATCACAGTAAGGTAGCAAATGCAGATCAGCTGGAGTGTGTGAGTGGCAGCGCCTTCTCCACACGAGGCCAGCTACTTTTCCCCCTGTATCATACCTCTCCATTTTAACCCCATGATGCTGGTGTCCCAAATCCTCTGACTGCCAGAAGCTGAGACTGGATGACAAGGGTATATCACTAGATAATTGCCCTGTTCTATTCATTTCCTCGGACGGGTCTGGTACCAGCCACTGTCAGAAGGCAGGATACCAAAGTAGGCAGATCTTTGGTCTAACCCAATATGGCCATTCTTATGAAAAAAGCACTGCAGCTGTTATCAGATTTCAAAAGTGCTTGGCCTGTGTCCCTGACTAGGGATGTTGGCAAGTAGTCGACTACTTGACTACCCGATAAGCATGAACTATCTCTATATGAGAGGCACCAAGGTGAGGAGGGACAGAAGCCAGTGCTGAGGGGGGCCAGCTTAAAAGCCAGCACTGTCTCTACGGTGTCACCTGTCCCCCACCCTGCTGCCTCTATCAGAGGCAGTGGAGAGGGATAGGGGAGGCTGCTGCAGCAGCAGCCCTAAAGGGATTTCAGAGTTGTTTTCAAACATGGGCATAATGTATCTTCCCCCTAACCTCATTCTCTGAAAAGGTTCAACCATTTCAGCTGACACTTTCCTTAAAATATTCAGCCTTGAGGTATACATTCAGCATGGGAAATTTCAACCCCAGTGGCTGAAATTTAGCAAAATGAACAGGGCCTGCTGGACTTGGCACAAGCTGGGACCAAGCTTGTGCCTCTGCATTTTAAATGTAGTAAGAGCTGCGAAGCAGGTGGCTCTTGGAGCCAGAACTGCTCAGTCCCGGCTCTAGCTGGATCCGGGAGCTAACCCTGCCATGGCTCTGCAGAGTAGCCCCTTATCAACTAATCATGTAATCAATACACATTGTATCAACTACACGATTAGCCAGTTAAACACAATTTAACATCCTTATTCCTGACCTAGCCCTACTCAAACCAAGATTTATTCTCCAGGCTTCCCACTCCTCTCTCTCCAGAGGGATGAAAATACAAATAAATTAACAGGCGCATGTAATTTCCCCAAGCAAGCGCTGGCTGCAATTCTGCTGCTACAGGTGCCCCCATGCCTGGCATGCCAGCATTTGCTACTGCAGGTAGTGTATTAGCTGTTCAAATGCCATAGTAAGCCAAGCAAGAACTACAGGTGACTAAGTGAGCATGGGAGATAAAACAGGATGGTGAGTCAGAAAGATGAATGAGCACTTGTACTTTTTTCACAAGTGCCTGTGTAAGGTATTATTGTGTACATGAGTTATGATCCAGCACCATATGATCACTAACCGTTAACTGGAAATACAAGTATCGGTATCAGATAAAGATAGATGACTGGGTCACATTGCATTGAATGGTCACTTGTAATTTATAAGAAATACAGCTGCCAAAGTTTCTGAGCCTAATGCAACTACAGTCATGAATGTCACTCATCCCAAAATATTCATCAGTGAGAAACTAGCTGCACTGCCATGCAGGGGAGCAGTCGTTTTCCTTGTGGGTGGGTATACCTTTAACTTCTGAGCTCAGTTGGATGTTGGCTTCTATGTGCACACTCCCCAAACTGGAAGGGACCTCAAGAGGGCATTAAATCCAGTCCCCTGCCCTCACAGCAGGACCAAGCACTATCTAGATCAGTGGTCTCCAACCTTTTTGCACCCAAAATCATTTTTTAAATGACAGAACAAGCCAAGATCTACCGCCCCGCCCCTTCCTTGAAGCCCCGCCCTCTCTATTCTCCTCTCTATCATTTGCTATCCCCAACCCTTATACTGCTTTTTTTCCCCCCCAATTCTTCTGTAGGAAGAAGTTTTTCCAACATTTGGCCTGTCTAGACTGGACCAAATGTCAGAAAAACCCCTTCTAAAAGAAGTGGAAGAACAAACGCATCCCTGGATGCAGAAGAGTTTTTCTGGGATCTCTCTGGAATCCTGAAAAACTCCTGCAGTCTAGCTATACCCTCGCTGGGTTGAGACCGGATGTGTAGGCTCTGGGGTGGGAATGAGGGAGTTGGGTGTGGGAAGGGGTGAGAGGTGAAAGCTCTGGAAGGAAATCTGGATGCAGGAAGAGGTGGAGAAGGGGACACTGACTGGGAGGGCAGGGCTCCAGACCGGGCAGTGTTGGGGGTCAGATGGAGGGTTGGGGTACTAAGCAAGCCCCAGGCTTGTGGATGTGAGGGTGCAGGAATTTGGGTTGGGGTATGTGAGTGGCTCAGGGCAAAGGGTTCCAGTGTATGATAGGCTCAGATCTAGGGTCTGGGTGTGTGTGCAGGAGTGTTACAATGCTGCGGCCAGATGGGGGCTTGGCCCCAATTGGGGGTTTGTTGGCCAGGCTTCATTTTTAAATAAAATACTATGTCAAACACAAAAAGTTTCTGCGTTGTCTTTATTTATGAGAAGGGCAGGGAACCTGTTTTGAGTCAGGGGTCACTGACCCATAGAAAAGTCAGTTGGGGCCACACAAGTGAGATACAAAAACATAACTCCTCCAAAACCCCCCAAGCCTCACTAATGTGGACCCAACAGTGCTGGTGGGAGCAGGGGACATGGTACTGGGGAAGGGTGCTTGTGGGCGCCGG